TTTACTTTGGTGTTTTGTACTAGGTCCTGACGTGTTCGACAGGAACAGCACGCACACTGCTACTTCTTGGCGAGAAACCCCCAAGCCATAATACAACACTAAACCAATTAAAGCCTTCCACGAGCTAGATACCACCACCTGCTTACCCATACCTATAAATATCCACCAACAGTAATCACAATTCACACAACATTCAGCCTTGATAATGGATGCAGAACGCATTCGAAATGCGTCGGCCCACTCATCACTAGCTACAACTTTCACCCGTTGTTCTAACAATGTTAAGACGGCTTATCGACTTTTTGAGAAGAATTCTAAGAAGAAAGTAAACCTACAGACATCGGTCTTGTTTAACAAAATCTGCCTACATACATATATATATACATATATACATTAACTAGCTGGAGTACCTGTCCTTTGGAGGGTGAAATAAAAACTCGCTTGTAACAAAGGACAGGAAATTGTGCTTCTATTTTCTTAACATAATGAACATTAAAAATGCAATAAAAATACGTAAAGGTACCAATACTGAAAAGAAAGATATACTGTTTTCAAATTAGACCTTTCTGAAAACCTTGATAAGAGTTTATATGTTGTTGTATTTGTTGTTTGTTTAAAGTTATGCACAAATCTACACAATGGCTATCTGTGCTCTGCCCATCACGGGTATCGAAACTCGGTTTCTAGCATTGTAAGTCCACCTACATAACTCTGTGCCACAAGGGGGATTGTTGTTGTACAAAATGTCTATTAAAGTATATTTGCATCCGCCTTTTGTTTGCTTCCTGTGATGAATTTACTGTTATATATCTTTATAAATATCGATATTTGTTTAAGTTAAATTTATATTTAAAAAATTCACATAACTTATAAATCTGTATTGAAAAATTCCCGCCTATTCACTAAACTTGTAGAAGATTCTAGAGTGTAAGAATCAACAATACATGTAAACACTAGTGTATCATCAGTATCGTTGGGTAAGCTGAAATTTCGAGAAACTCTCCTCACGCCTATAAATATAACCAACGCGATGCGCCAAAAGACAGTATATATTATTGGCTTGCTACAGTTGGTGTAGCCAACCTCGGAAGCTATAATTGTGATTAACGCTTATTAATCAGGAAACTTCAGCCATTTGACCAGGAACATCTATAAATTTCGAACATTACAAACCAGTTAACTGCAGTGGATTCACCTCGAACATTAGAATTTCTACGAAAATATTATATAACTTCTTTGTGGACACCTCGGCGTGTGTGACCGGTGAAGAACGGATCTAGCTAGCTCCCAGTTAAGTGAATTGTATCTACATCTACTCAAAATTAATTCGCCAATCATGAACCTTCCATAAGATATCAAGGAAGTTCCAGACCAGATAGAGGACTAAATATTGTTAGCAAAACTTTTGCACATAGATCATTATTTGTAATAACCGTTATTGTAAATTGTGTTATATTTTGTATATTAAAATATATTTGTATTAAAAAAGAAAACTGTGTGTGTCAATCTTGTTGGCAAATATCATAAATTGGATACTTCTAAATCTAAATTATAATTTAACTCAGCTTTTGGCTATTTGAAATTTTAATAAGTAACAATCCGTTGAAATGAAGTGCGCCCGCATATTCAGGACAGACCAAAACTGAGTATTTTTATAATAGATTGTTGATTAAACTTTTCCAAAATGAAGGGAAACTAACAAAATTGAAATATTATTAACTCTAAGTAATTCCAGATGTGTTTAAACAGTACCTGTCCAGTACATTTGACTCCTTTTCACTATCATTTTCGTATAATATTTTATTAACTAACATAGTGTTAATGAGTATTTGCATTCCCATAAATATTCACCTAAAAATTAACATGCATACAATCTTTGTTGCAAGTAAAAATATATACAAAATTATTCTCACCTGGCTTGCTAACCCTAATCAATTCAGGAAAACTACTGGAAGGATAAATGTGGCATTTACCTATAGCTCCACTCATGATGACAACGTCATACGTATCTAATAGTAATACAAATATAAATTAAAGAAAAAACATTTCCTGGACTTAATAGGCATGTTGTTCTCAAAAGTAAATTTAATACCTGTGTGTTGTTAGTTTCTTGTATTATTTGCTCATAGGACTTATTACACTTTATTATAATTATTCATATATGCTAATAGTAATACAGTGACATGTTGCCCCTATGACATGTACTGCACTAATTCATGGTGGATTCAAAACTTCTTGACAGTTATTAGCTCCAAGGGTAGCTATGTGTTAAAAGTAAGTAAAAAAACCAAAACCTTTCCAAACTGAAATGTTAAAAAAGATAAAACCATATGGCAAAATGTTTCGAAGGAAGGATGCTCTCATCTTTCCATGGAAGTAGGAAAACTTATACAGCAGGGTGTTTAGGATAGAAAGAGGCTCAAACACCAAGCCCAGCTTATCCCAGAGCAACCAACAAAAAGAAAAAGCCAAGGTTATAAAAAAAACTAGCTCAAAAAGCTGGATATATCTCTTGAACCTGTTAACTAAATAATAAAATATTTAATAGAGGCACAAAAGTCAAAGTACACAAGCTCTCTCTCACACCTCTAAGTCAATATTTGTTAACATGAGAAAGATGGTCATAGAAACTGGAATCTCAGCAATAATATCTAATAAATATATCTATTATCCAGGAAACAAAGTACAGTGGTAAAACTAAAAAGGTAAAAAGTTAACCTCGTAAGAAAGATATCAAGAAACATCTGCTATAAAAAGCAAACAGAAATAGAGAACCAATCAGGAAAGGGTAAAATATACCCTACACATGGTGTGGTGGAACTATGAACTAAGATCACAGAGTCTCGTGTGTGTGTGTGTGGGGGGGAGTAAAGTATCAAACACAAAAAGCAGATATCAGATGCTTCAACCCAGACAATCCTGTTTCTAAAACTACATTCACCTCCTGTTGTCAATTATGGAAAAGTAAATGCTTCTAATAAAATTAAAAACATAAAACAGGTTATTACTAGTATTACCCAACTTTAGGGGTTAAAAGAAATATCCTCTAAAGTTACATCCCATCTTTAATAATAGATACCTTTATGAACAGCATTTGTTGAATTTTAAAACAACATAATAATCCATTTGAATTTAGTTCTGCTATTGATTCTGTAAAAGCTGTTACAAATACTCAGCCACTATATTAAATAAATATTCATTTTATTAACCCTCAGAGTACCCATTTATTTTTAATTCATTCACTAAATGTGGAGTCCACATACTGAATCAAATTGAGTAGTTTTATGTTGTTTGCCTGTTACAACACTGACAAAACAATAGGTTGAAATTATGCATAAAGCCACTCAATGGGCTATCTGTGCTTTCGCCACAATGAGTATCAAAACCCGGTTTCTAACATTGTATGTCCGCAGACATACCACTGTGCCACTGGGAGGCAATGGAAAGTTAGTGAGATTAATTACAATACTGATGGTATTTTTACTTAAAATTTTCCATGTGACTCATAATATAAATATAATATAATTTATTATTATAGTAATACCACGCACTTTTCATTTTTATGGTTCTACATACAACAACAAAATTAGTTTTAAATATTTTTGTCAGTTCACTTGTGAATGTACCATTTGAATTATTTAATTCTAAAATTCTTCATACTAAAACACAGAAGGATTTTTTGCCTCATTTGTTTTCTTTTTTTGATAATAACATTATTGCTTTTAAACAAGTTTTATGAACAGGTTAGTAATATCAGTTTGGATGCTAATTAATTCTTCTAATGTTGCTACCTTAGATCTTTACTTTTATGAAAGTTTGATTATGAGTAGTACCTTATATTAATAATTTTTATCTTAGAATACATTAGGTTTCAATAATTAGACTATAAAAAACTATATTACTTCCATAATTCCTGCTGAATTGAAAAATAAAATACTGTGTTATCAGTTTGCTTTATCTGGTATACAAACACATTGCTTTGATTTAGAAATAAATGAAAATAATTTGACACAAATATTTCTGCTCAAGGATAAATAAAAATGCTACTTCCAAATTTATTCTTATTTTACAAAATGGTGACATTAATGTCATGATCCCACAAGTAATCTGGTCCATAAACAGTTGAGAAAAAAATTGACTGCTTCAGTAATTCAATAATGAAATTTGAGATGTTATTTTAACACTTAAGAGTTTGATATAGTGTACAATAATAATGAAATAGTTTTGCATGATATCGGTAACCTAAATAATGCAACAATAACACGGCAAGCTATGATAAAGGAAAGAGGTCATCTCATCTTCATACCATAAACATGGAAGATACAAAAATGATTTGGTAAGTGAACAGTTTAGGGAAACTAAACAGTAAAGAAAGGAAATTTGGTTTTGTTAGTTAAAATGTTGGTTGTATTTTGTTTCCTACATTTAATGATTTAATTATTGCATCTGTATATTAATAAATGTTAATGTAATTATCAAGAATTAATTTATTGTTAATTATGGAAGTTTAAGTTAATGTACCATTGTTTTCTTGTGTAATAAGATTGTTCAGAAGACTTCACAGTTCAAAGGGGTGGAAGAGTTGCAAGTTAAGTTTTAATCTAGACATTTGTAGAATATTTTATTGTTGATTAGATAGAGGGAAGTTTGACAAACACATGAGATGAGTGCTTAACTTAATTCTGGATTTTCTACAAAGTTTTAGAACTTAGGCCTGCCAGTAGTGATAAGAACACTTCCAGAGAACTAACAAAATGTAGGGCATTTCTTTTCAGGATGAGTCATTCTTTGACTTGTAACCAGATATCAAATTATTCTAATTTAGAAAGAATCTAGAGCTAAATACAGCCCTATTTCCATATAGATATGTGATGCTTGTGGTAGAGACGGAAGTATATTGTAAGCATTATGTGATAATACTGAACATAATAGATGTCAAAACTCCTCCAAACCAATGGCATAGTTGCTCGGATACCTAGACAAGTAAGACCATCAACCATGACATAAGCAGACAATAAACATCTGCAATTCTTGCTTACCAAAACCATGTGCATCTGCTCTCACAATGCATAACATGTTCACAGCTTCAAATGGATGCTATTCTATTTTACAGTCAGTTAGAATAAAAGTTATCTCAAATTTCCTGTTCCTTCTGATCATAACTTTTATTGTTCTCTTTCTTACCATCCATACTAAAATGTTTCTGTTGTTTTATATCTTTTAAAACACTTTCCTTGCACTAATGCTATTCTGTTTGTCAGTTTTACTCAAGAATGTATTTCATTATTTGATGGCATTTTTCTCGATTTATTTCTTTGTTAGATTGTGGAATTTCATGTCTCTTTACAAGCATCAATTTAAAGGTTACCAGGTTGGTAATATCAGATACACTATTATAACATGATGCCAATCAACCCCCTTCAATTCATTGCCATGGAAATTAGACATCTCATTATCAGTCACATGACCTGAAATGTGTATGACTGGTCATTCAACGTATGCTAAATCTATAATAATTCTGTCTAAGCTGCCATTTTGAAATGAATTACAGTTGAAGTGTTCTAAGTTCTGGATGAACTACAGCTAGACATCAAAGAAGATATTTGGAAGTTTGACCTTTGTGGAGATTCACTGTTCAAATTGAAGCAGACTATTGTGAACTGGCTACAAGGGTGTCACATTGTCATCTGTAGTATATAAAAACTGCTTCCAAGCTATGGCATAGTTGTTTGGATACCTAGTCATACTAGACAATCAACCACAATGTAAGCAGATGACTACTGTGTGCGTGATATTCCAGCCCATCACAATCACAATGCACCTGCTTTGAGATTGAATAAGATATTTGCAGCCACAAAGAGATACCATGTTTTATACGGTCAATAAGAAACAGACTTCATAAAATTGAATTGTAATGGTGTATCAAATGTCCAGTAAGGTGCAATACACTTAGATGAATATGCAAAATAGTTCACTTGCAGTTCCAAAAACACTTTTAGTGAACTAAAAATATGCAGGGATATTTTCTTTAAGATGAGTCACTCTTCACTCTGTAACCAGACATCAAAGTACACTCATTTGGAAAGAACTTAGAACCAGATACAGCCCCATTTCTGTATAGAAATGTGATGCTTATAGTAGAAGTGGAAGTATAATCTAGGCAGGAGTAGGTATTGGAGGATTTACTGATCTGTATATCCTGTGGAATGGTGCACTAATAATTATGCATATTATGGAGACTACATCCTACAACATCCTTGTGTTGTCATATGCTGGTACAATTGGCTCCAACTTCGGCGTAATGGATAATCATGCCTGTTCCGAGTATGCTAAATTGCTCAACATATACCTTGATGAAGAAGGAGTTGATGAAATCGAGTGCCTGCATGCTCACTGAAATTCAATAATATTAAGAATGCAAATATTGTTCTTGGAAGATGCACCACATTCCATCATTTGTCTCTAGACAATGAAGATGTCTTGGAAACTCTTTCAGAAGGGTGGTTGAGAATACCTTGCCATCTTATCCACATTCTGATTTTAAGTATAAAACACCGGTGCAGCTGCTTTTATTGTTCTTCATACCATACACTATGGAATATTATGAAAATGTAAAGCTACCTCTAACAAATGTCTACTTACTTTTTAAAATATAAATTTTTGTGTGACATTACATCATAATTTTTAACAAGTCTTTATTATTTTTATCAAATTTAATTTTATTGAATTGTCACATAAAACATTGATCTAAAGATCACACTTTTACTCATTTAAATGAAGGCTTGTTTTAACTTTGAGTAGAACTCTTCTACAACTTCATCAAATACATTATATCCATTTTCAATTATTTTTCACTTCATGATGATGAAACTCAAAGTACCTTACTAACCAAGGTTTGCACTGATTCATGCTCCACCAAACTTGAACATGCACATGCTTGTGCCTTTGAACAATCAACAGTAATGAAAATTAAGCAGACAATTAAAACAATGCAAACAAAGAAAACAGT